CAAAAATGGCATACCTTTCCCAGCTCGACCAGGTTTGTCAGCATGACGATGGTAGAACAATCTTTTTGCCAGATCATTCGCCAGAAATCATTTACTGTCACACGGTTTGGCCCTGAAGTAGTATTTCAAGAATAAAATAAGAGAGGCAGACACGTTTCTCTGGATGTTTTAATGGATTGGCCAGAACAGAGAAATCTTCATTAAAAAACCATAGACTAAATGGGGCAGCTTGATAAAAAATAAAAGCTATTTTGACACAATTATGTCCTAATAGTTGTTTGAATAAAAATTATTACCTTGTGTGGCGATGTAACACATAGTTTTCTCGTCAAATGTCTGAAGGAAGGATTTGAACGCAGAACCAAAATTAGTGGCGGAAACTTGAAGAAACTAGACTTTCCTTTACGAAATTCTTCTTTTAATTGCCCTTACAAAAAGTTTCGAACGAAAAGAGTGTTGTAAATAATCCGGAATTGCATCGGCTTTGTCTTTAAGGCTTTCCTTGTGCGCACGCTGTGATTGGCGAAAAACATCGGCATCAATTTCGGGGGGGGGGGAGTGGTGATGGAGAGTGGAGAGAGGCACTGTGAGGGTGAAGAGTTTGCCCAAAAACACCACACACCAACCCAGCCTGAGGCCCATTTCTCGAAAATCCCAGTAACTAAACAGGCCTGAAGCCATGTTTTAAACTCAAAATTTAATGGATAGGAAAGCACGTTCTGGCATTCAAACCAGTCATTTTTGTTTCTTTAGCTGATAGTTTTATCGTATCATTTTCAAAACTTTTTAAATCTCCATCTTCAATGAAAACAGAACCGCTTTACAGGCTCGTTAAGTTACCGGGACTTTCAAAAAAACGGGCCCTTGGTCCCAGTAATAAAAATGATGTTTCCCTTGTAGGTTTATGTTATTCAGTGGTGATTCAAGCATTGACCACGAGCCTGGCAGTGGTCATGTTTCATTCAAGCGGCATAAACAGGATTTCAGTGCCGTAGATGGGAGTAACAGCAGCAGCAAGAGTCAGTGTACTTCCCTTTTTATTGAACCTGTTAGCTGGATGCTTCCTTTACTTGAGGGAACAATTGATGGAAAGGTACAGTGTGCTTTAATCAGCGCTTGGCATTTAGTAGATGGCTACATGTTTAACAAATGACGTATTCTTTCACCCAGCTCAACACTCACAGACATTCAGTTATTCAGTCGTAAAGTCATCTAATTAACACCTCAAACAGTCTGTAATTTATTTTAATTTTTTAAATGTCTGTATACACCTTCAGCTTCCTTGTCCCAAGTGTGGTGGAAGGCTGGGTTCATTCAACTGGGCAGGTATGAAAAACATTTTGAAACATAGTACCCCATGGGAAGTGTAACTTTGTGCAAAATGCCTTGAAAGCCACATATCTATGTATTAAAGTTCACCCCTTGAATTCTTTTCTTTTTTTATTTTCCTCTCTTGTGCCCGCCTCAAATAGCCCTAGCTACTTGCGGGCCCAAGCATTGTAATTTTCTTATTAAGCTGAAATAAAATTTGTTGTGAAAAAAAAAAAAACAACAACAACAACAACTGACATGTACCTACTCTTGAATTATGTTCCCAGGAATGCAATGTTCTTGTGGAAAGTGGGTGACACCAGCATTTCAGATTCACAAAAACAGAGTTGATGAATCAAGGACAGTATGCCAATCTTTTGCTAAACCGATTCAACATGAAGAGAATTCAAGCTAGGATAATGTCTTGCATTTCTGTCAGTGTCTCCTCTCCAAGAAAACAATTATGCGCCTTTACAGAGAAAGATAGCTTGGTAGTGTATGACATCTCAAGTTTCCTTAGCACTGTCCAAGCAGACAAGAGTGAACTCTCTTTATGGTCATTTGTTTCAAGTTTAGATTTAAAATAAAATGGCTCAGAAGCAATTTTGACAAAAAGCATACAGAAGGACATGTACCCACAAGCCTGGGAGTTCATCACCATTTTATCAAATAAAAAAGGAAACTCCAATATGTCTGCATGTGCTACTTGTAGTGATAAAACTCTTGCCAAAGGGTTAATGAAAGACAACTGAAGACAAGTACATGTAAGGGGCAACAAGCATCCTTTGGTAATTTTTTATTCATAGAATCAAACTTTTTGAATATTCTTTTCAAGAACACAGGCCATGTACTTTCCCTTGACATGGCAAATCAGAAGCTTCATTCGGTCAATTTTGATCTTTTGATTTACCCTGCAAAAATTTTTCTTGTTCCCTTGCCTAGTCAACAAAGCACCAGACAAACTATATATTATTTCCAATCAAATTCAAAAGAGCAAGAGGGATTTTAGATTTCTCTGGCTTAGTAGACTGATACATAATAGTATCAATTTTCTTCTTAATCTGAGGTAGGATCTCCACCAAAGGTTAATCGACTGTTACTACATCCACTTATGGATTGTATTTACTAATTATTGTTCTTTTACTAAATGAAGTTAAACTTTGTACAAATTAGCACTGGGATATTTTCTTTTTTTGCCAATCAGCAAAATTAGGCCACATTTTGTGGCTAATTTCACTTCTTGGTGCTATGCACCTGAGGTATAATCAATCTTACGTTCTAGATGACTTGTTGCATTCTTTCCTTTTAGTTGAGTCACTGTAGGGCCAATCTGTGAAGTGCTCAAAAGTACACCCCTTGACCTACTTTTGATGATGCATGCAGCTTTCATTTTGAAACAAAACATTTGTCACTCTGAATTCTTAGTCTTACTACAGTCAAATCCCCCCAACTTGAACTTTGCACTATCTTGAACCAAAATTGATTTCCCCTGGATTTCCAAAATACAGCTATTGATAATGCACAATTTTGTACAAAATGACAATTGTAAAGTTTCAAAAACATACACTTCAAAACAGTGATTCTCATAAAAACACAAAAGAACCATAGTTACCAAGTATTCTTGAGCACTTTCCAAATGACCAAAATAACTTGGTCAAATTGTGATTGCCTTCTTTAATACACATTGTATTTTTATTGTGACTGACAACATTTTGCTGTGGGTTGATTGATTACTTGTTCTAACAAGCAAGAACAGCAGAGTCAGAGGTCAAAGATTCAATTTCTTTATCAGTGCTGCAGCATTCAAATGCACTGAAGGATTCACACTGCCTTGGATTTAGAAGGTGGATCAATGGCAAAAACACAATCATCCACAATGGATTTTCTTTTTCCTGTGATGAGGAGGGCATCACCTGCAGTTGAAAACAATTTGAAAACTAATGAAAAATAAAGGATTTTTTCAGACTTAAAAGTAAAGCTTTCACTCCTACAGGTAGCAATGACCTTACAGCAGTTTCTTCATGGATTCAAAATCCATAAATTGTCCAACAGAATCACGATGACAGTGCAGTAAAGAACTGCCAATACACCCCTTGTTTCAGAAAATCACCCTTCCTTGGAAATTTCACAATCTCTTTCATGAGCTGATTGATAACTTGTGAGAAAGGAAAGATTTAAAATATTTGGAATCCACTTGGCAGGAGGGATGTTCAAGCAACTAGTGTAAGAATAAACACAATGAAATAGAGGATATTACATGGCCGCGCGGGGATATGAATTTTATCTTCAAGTGCTGAAAGTATCTCTCACGAGTGAGCGCATGTAATGTTCTGTTTATTATATAGATACTGATGAAATTTCCACATAAAAGACAACTTTTTTTATTCATTTTCAAAACAGCAATTGGGTAATTATGTTGGTAACCATGGCCACACCAATATCCTCACACATGACACATGAAAGATAAAAATAGTATCTTCACTGCGCGTGGTGAAGACATGATTTTTTTAGTACAGGGAGAAATCCTGGTATTTCATCAGTATCTATATAATAATAATAAATATCTCACTGGCAATGAATTAAAAAATTAACAACTGAAGATCTCCACAGGAGGCAGAAGACAATTTGTTGCCCATTGATAAACTGTTCTTGCTACTTATTGTTATGTGTCAACTTACGAAGCCTACAGATACTGGAGCCTAGTGAACCCCCCAGGCAGAACTCATCCTGGTTTCCTTAGCATGAATAATTATAATAATAATAATTATGTTAATGAAAGCTCCCCCATAGGTACTTAATATCAGCCACAATGTAGACTAACAAGGTGCTCAAAAAGCCGCACTGGCAGGAGGCAGACCAGTGGGCTATTTACAGAGCGTGGCCAAGGAGTTGAACGAGGGGCAACCGAGAACAAATCCAGAGAGTGGCAGGGTGGAGGAATTGAATACGGGACACTGGACTACAAGTCCAGCATCCTAACCACTCAGCCAAAAAGTGACTAGGAGTATTACTACTCCCCCCTGGATGGGATGCTAGTCCACCACAAGGTAACCCCCCCTGCATTTCCTCAGGCTTTCCCGACTATTAGTCGAAATCCATTTATACTCCTGCGTGGAGAGAGGCACTGTGAGAGTAAAGTGGCTCAACCAAGAACAAAACACATTGACATGGCCAGTCGTCAACCTCTCCACCCGCAGTCCAGTGTGGTGACCATAAGGCCACTACATCTATACAGGCCATTGGATCTCTGAGTCAACTTACAATCAAAAAATAATTCACACCACAGGCAACCAAACCTCATTCATAGTTTCTCAAAATCGTGAGGTTTGCCCCAAAGTACTATATACCTATTCCCTCTACACCTCTCCCATTCTTTTATACACACCTTGTGAAGTCTGTGGCAATGAATAAGGCCATCACTTCCAACTTCAAACACAGAAAAGCCATCCAGATATCTATCAACAGAAAGTAACATTGCGCAGATCATGAAGTACATTTGTGCTTTGAAATAAAAAAAAAATAAATATATAAAACAAGATGTGTGAACTGTCCAATTGATTCCCTAGCCTACATTTAAACTACAAAACGATACTGAGTAGTCTGTTAGATCCATAACAACAATTTCCTCTTCTCTTGGTCTTTTGAACAAGGAACCAGACAACAGATGTCAGCTGGCAAAAAAGAAGCAAGTTTCAATGGCAAACAAATCCCCCTATTAAATTTGTGTGGTCCTCTCTTCATTGAATTTTTTAAATATATTCTTAATTTGCCCCCAAAATGTAAGGAACACAATTTGCTTGTAATCAACATATTAGGGTATCTGCAAAAAGACTAAGAGATCCCTCTGCTTAAAATTATATTGAGCCAAAATATTATTAAAATGCACCCAAAAAATAAAACCCAGTTTTCAAATGTACCTGTAACCATAAGAATCAACTCTGACTTTTCTTCCAAGGTAAGGAACTAATTTTCTAATTAATGGTATTCCCTTAATCCTCCATCGCACTTTGATTGCTGCTTCATTTGGATGTTTGGTGATTTTAAGGACCTCCACAGACAGTTCTGTCATGCAGCTCAACATGAGAAATCTCAAGCCACTTACTTGGCTTTTGTAGGGATAGATTCCACTGTAAATACAAACACACAGAGAAATAAATAATAATTATAATTAAGGAAGCTGTGACCTCTTTAATAAAGGATCCATTTTTCTTATCATTAAAAGGCCACGCTCAGCCAGGATGCATTGCAAGGTAGTGGCCTCTTATCAGTATTTTCTGAATTACAGAAAAGGAAAGCCAACTGTGTGTGATATTATTTGACTAGAATCTTTGTAATCTTAATGGAGAACTGGCTTTTTAATTATACCCCAATCTAGTTTTTTTCAAGTGTTTATTATTTATTCACTGCAATTTTAGTTTTGTTGTTTCATTCTAAGTGTGGTGTCAGCAAAACCTGACAAAAACAGGGCTTTGAATTTCAATATAACATTCCATCCACTGAGATACTCCAAAATTAAACAAAACAAAAAAAAAAAAAACTAAGGTGAGAAGGGCTGAAACAACAGATTATGAGACACAATATTAAAAACAAAGATTAACTATAATTCAATAATTAATAATTCATTTGACTTACTGTGTTGTGACTCCAGTGATGTTGTTAACAAATTTAATTCTCTTGTGGTATGTGGCATAATTGGGCTTCTTCAGAAAAAATAATGGAATCTGCACAAATTAAATTTATAAAAAGCACAACTGTCACACTGACTTCATCAAGGAAATACCAAGTTCTCATTGTTTGAATTTCTAAATTTCTTCCATAAAACACTTCACTTCCATCAAGACTGTAAGAATTGACACCTCATTTTAATTGCAGTGTTATGAAAGACCTACCACATAGAACTTTGGGAGATCAATTATTGTGTGACCACAAATTTTTTTACAAGGAAACTGAAAGAAACAGCATTTTCCAGCATTTACAAGGTTTAAGGTCTAAATTAATCATGGGTTAAATTGTCTGATATAATATTCATTCTGTACTGAATAAATTAATGCTATTACACTTGAGTATAACTTAAACACTCAAATATTCCGTAAGAAATGACTGTCAATTGTCGATGTAGACATGTAAATGATTATAATGTTTAAAAATTTAACTTGTACCTAGTACTGACAATGGTAACTGATTCTAGAAGTCTTCAATTAGCAGCAATGCATATAAATAAAATCAATATTACAATTATGGATTGTTTACTGTTAAGATTTCACTATTATGCAGGTGTAGCATGATGACAGATTGTGAGAAAAAAAGACACTGACAGACCTGGGTATCAATAAAAGAACTGATATTAACAACATTTTATTTCTGGTCATGAGTTTTCCAACCCCCTTAATGCTTCAAACCTAATTTACACTTCATGCTACAAGTTGCAGTGATCCTTACAGAGAATAGCCTGTTCTTCAAGCTTGTTCCTCAACCATCAAGCTTGAACATCAAGCATTCAAGGCCGTAACAATCAGTTACTGTGAATGACTGCTAACATTCAAACTGCCTTGATTCTCTGCTTTACAATACAGGGACAATTAAAAGAAGGCACATCTTGATCATCCCATTGGGAATAAATAAAGATTAATTAAGGGTTTTATTCTAAAGTCTTAACCCTTCTAGTTATCAGTGGGGATGAGTGAAACCCTTCATCTTGCAAATTTACATGCAGAAAGGTGTCTCAGAGATCCTGCATGAATCTTTGCTGGGGGATAATAACAGGATTACAAAAATCCACTATATATATATTATTAACCAAGCGTGAGGGCCGTACTGGGAGAATATTGGCCGGGTCTTGACAGTACGGACCAAGCGCAGTGAGGTCCGTACAAAAAAGACCGAGGGCCGATATTCTTCTAGTAAGGTCCCGAGCAAGCTTGGTTAATAAGAGATTTATTATACGACTGAAGTTCAAAGAGACACAAGTGCGGTATCATTCGGGACCATTCGGGACAGTGCCTGGTCCAATACTGAGAGAATATTGACCAGCAATAGAGCATTTTGATTGGTTGATTTTAGTTATTGGCCCTCTGACTGCCCGAGTCTTGTAATAAATAAGGATAACAGCTCACCTCCTCTCTAAGTTCCAGTAAAACTGAAGAAAGCTGAGTATTAGTTGGTCCACTCTGGAAGGTTTTCTTGATCTCTGGCTTTTTCACATCTTTTTCACCACTACAAAAGTCTAAAAACAGCAATGCTGCTTCTGAAATAGAGTTATTCATCCCTGAATTTGAGGAAGATATTTTCAAAACTCTGTCCACACTCCCTTTCAGAGAACGCGGCCTTCGGTCTTGTTGAGGTGCTCTGGAATATTTGCCAAAAGAGGTTGAACTTGTATCTCTTATTTTTTGCTTTGCAACAGGACCTTTAGACGGCTTCTTATACTCGTGGGAAGAGGCTGAGTTGAGTAAATCTTTGCTAAGTCCTATGGAAGGTCTTCCAGTAAATGGATCCTCTTTAAAAACCATTACAACAAACTGTTTGTGATCCATCAGAGGATCATGATTCCATCTTGATATCAGTGACATGTCTTTTGCATTTTTGTCCATTTTAACATTTCCATTATATTTCTGGAGAAGATGTAATGGTTGGTGTTTGCTCTTGTACTGGGAGACTCTCCCTTTTGATTGAAAGGACAATAAGCCTTGCACTTGACTATAGCTGGACTCATTTCCAAAAGATTTTCTTCCGGATACAGTGTTCTTTTTTCCGTTCAATTGAAAAATAAATGGATTTTGAACCTTGGGAAAAAAAAGGGGAAGTGAATAATATGTATTAATCTTGACATTTGCAGTCCATTTACAAACAGCACATAAACTGAATACGATGTGGATCAAATTCCTCTAACGTGAAGATACTGAGAAATTCTCAGCTTTTAGATAACTGATATTTTGTGTTTGAGGTCAAGACAAGGGAGGTTCTGGAGACGAAGGCACGAAATCAAAGAATCGATATCTCAAATTGCATGGTATGATTTTCACAGACAAATACACGGTAACCTTTCTGCACAGCTCCATATGCACACAATAAAGTCCCAAAGGAAATCGATTGTTTTTTAATTGTTTCTCGCCATCGTTCTCTTGAACCAAGGATCTCCTTCAGAGCGCTACAGAAAGCGGGTAAGTAGCAATAGCGAAGTTTAGAAATTAATTTCAAGTAACAGAGAAACAAAATACACTTGTAAAGCAAAAGTAAATAAATAGCAAATTTGTACTTTACGTACTTTGCAAGGTTGAACTGCCAGTTGAGAATGTACATAACAAACGACAGCCGATGGTGGTGTACTTTGTACGTATTTGCACAAGAACTTTGGAGACGTCAAAAGAATTGAAGATGTCAAGGTCATACTTTTTCACATGGAATCAAAACTCTGCTCCGTGCGATCGAGAGGCGTTCTTGCATAATACAATATACAACATGGCGCACAAAACACTCTCGAAAAAATTCACGAGAGGAATCTGGGTAGCAATTTGAGACCGCACTTTCAAAAACCTGCGGTCTAATTCACAACTCATGCGTAGATTTTGTGGTTTTTGTCGGGTTTCAATATGGCTGCCGAATCACTAAATGATGAATTAGAATACGTAAAACTGTATAGAATTAGGCCTCTTTTGCTTCATTTTTACATAGTACCTTTTATACCAATCTACTTGACATGGCTTTATTTCTGGACAATGGTATATGGCGTCACAGATTATTTTGAAGCAGGTCTTATCGCTTTGGCAGCGATCGGAATATTACAAGTTCTTTCCATGTTGTTCTGTCATTGGTCTGTTCATGTAAGATGCCTGTTCACCTGTTCATCGGTAAGAATATTTGTCGCTCTCATTTATGGTAGGGATAGCCAAATTGTGGCGATCTAAATGAACCAGACCTTGCAGACGTGGTGGATCAGACGGCGATGGGGACCGGAATTATTTTAATAAATAATTTTATTTATTTGATAATATATAGATGGTAGTTAAGCTATTGTCCTGATAATTTATTACCCTTTTGCGGTTATATAAAATTGGATTTTGCAATTAAAAAATGAATCTAAGTTCGAAATGATTTCAAATTATTTTGAGTTGTTCACTTATCGATACATTAAAAACCGTACTCCTTAGATAAGAAAAAT